CACATGCTTTTCCTGATTCAGCAGCACTGTTTTAAGCATTATGAAAAAGCCACCAGTTGTCAAATTCCAGTAGCCGTAGGAGAGGTAGAGTCTCACAACCAAATGAACCAGTCGCTGTCGGGGCTCACTTTTGAGGACTATTTGTAAAGCAAACTCCGAGCACCCAGAATGACACAGATGCTTATCTGATGCTGCCCCAGCAAATCGTACAACAGAAAATTTTCCCAATAACATCTTTCAAAAAAAAAAATAGTGGGCGAATCGTACAGGCCACGGCGAGCGGGCTGCGTAAGCAGTGATGCATTTAAAAATTTTGCAAACGGTGGCAGGACGGTGTTTATTTAAAATATTGTGTATTAACAACAATGTGCTCACACGTATCAATTTCCAGTGAGGATTCTTATTACTACTATAAATCTGATTCTGAGAACAGCGGCACACCGCCAAACGTGAAGCATACTTACACCTCGTTTGCTACCCCATCTCCGCTGACAGAAATCAAGTATTTTCTCCCGTTAAACTTTAACAAGCACGAGGAAAGCACTCACCACTAGCGCACGGCGAAAAAAAGTCTTGCATCCGTTACAACTGGCAACAGAATAATGGATACCGCTTGCCAAATCCGAGCAAACAACGCATAGCGTACCCTCCGGGATTTTCTCCCTTCCTGAAAAAACCTTTCGCTCTGTAACAATTTCCTAAACAGTCCTGTGGTTTTTTAAGGTGTTTTTGCAGTTGCAGAAAATCAGAAACGAAAAAACATTCAATTCAACCTTTTCCGTCTGTATTTTACCAGAATTTGTTGCTGCCGTAACAGACTTCGCCAGTAAAGCTTGTCAAATGCTCACAACGTCCAAGTTTTGGAAAATTAGAATGCACATGACATAGGTGGTCAAAGCACTGCTGGTCAAAAAGCTATCATTAAAAACTGTGTAAATGCTGTCACTACAAAGCACTATCGGTTTAAACACGGGCCCACAGCAAAAGCAGTAGATAAAAGACAGGTAGCCGCAAAAAAAGTGGTACTGGGATCAAAGAGCGATGCTGGAAACAAACGAATGAGGAAGTGGCACCAGTGATGAACTCGGAAAGTAGAACTGGAAGCACTGCAGTCCGCATGCTTTAAAGCAGTGGAAACAAGGAGACAATATACAGTGGAATAAATGAAATGTAACAAAGCTAAAAAGAGGACGAAAAAGACTTTTTCACAAAATACAGCATTTCAGCTCAACCACCAGCACAGGTAAATGACGAATCCAGTCTTGACTATGATCGGCAAATCCACTAATCCTACCGCTATTTATCATAGTCTGTATAACAAAGAAAATACAGAAAGCAACCGAAAAATTAGCATCCGCCCATCATTAACTTGAA